CAGAACCTCTGGCACCCCAATCCTCCCTTGTCCCTTCTTGCCACCCACAATCCTTTGCATTAGCACTGTGGCTTCAAGCAGGGCGCTGCACAGACACGGGGGGAGAGAGAGTCCCTGCTGCGAAGAACTTCCAATTTAGACAAACAAAGGGAGGCTCATTATCCCTATTTTACAGAGGAGGGAAACTGAGGCAGGGAGCTGCAGTGACTTGCCCAAGGTCACACAGGGATTCGATGGCAGAGCTGCGAGTTCAGCTTGGATCTCCTGCCTGAACCACAAGGCCGTATCCCTCGATCCCAGCTCTCGGGATCCCAGCCTGCATGTACCGATGGCTGCAGTTCCCATTCTCAAGCAAGGCCACATTCCCCGCCCCCATCTCATAGACTCAGAGACTCATAGACTTTAAGGTCAGAAGGGACCATTATGGTCATCTAGTCTGACCTCCCTCATGATGCAGGCCACAAAAGCTGACCCACCCACTTTCCCTTAACTCAGCTGTTGAAGTCTCCAGATCGTGATTTAAAGACTTCAAGTCGCAGAGAATCCTCCAGCTTGCGACCCCCGCCCCATGCTGCGGAGGAAGGCGAAAAACCTCCAGGGCCTCTGCCAATCTACCCTGGAGGAAAATTCCTTTCTGACCCCAAATATGGCGATCAGTAGAACCCCGAGCATACAGGCAAGATTCTCCAGCTGGACCCTCTTTTTACCAGCGATGGCACATTATTGCCTAATTGACTAAAATCACGTTATCCCATCAAACCATTCCCTCCATAAACTTATCTAGCCTAATCTTGAAGCCAGAGAGGTCTTTCGCCCCCACCGTTTCCCTCGGAAGGCTGTTTCAAAATTTCACCCCTCTGATGGTTAGAAACCTTCGTCTAATTTCAAGACTAAACTTCCCCACGGCCAGTTTATATCCATTCGTTCTCGTGTCCACATTAGTACTGAGCTGAAATAATTCCTCTCCCTCCTTGGTATTTATCATTCTGATATATTTAAAGAGAGCAATCATATCCCCCCTCAGCCTTCGTTTGGTCAGGCTAAACAAACCGAGCTCCTCGAGTCTCCTTTCATACGAAAGGTTTTCCATTCCTCGGATCATCCTAGTGGCCCTTCTCTGCACCCGTTCCAGTTTGAGTTCATCCTTTTTAAACATAGGAGACCAGAATTGCACACAGTTCTCCAAATGAGGTCTCACCAGTGCCTTGTATAACGGAAGCAGCACCTCCTTGTCCCTACTAGAAATACCTCGCCTAATGCATCCCAAGACCGCATTAGCTTTTTTCACGGCCACGTCACATTGCTGACTCATAGTCATCCTGCGGTCAACCAGGACTCCAAGGTCCTTCTCCTCCTCCGTTACTTCCAACTGATGCGTCCCCATCTTATAACTAAAATTCTTGTTAGTCATCCCTAAATGCATCACCTTACACTTCTCACTATTAAATTTCATCCTATTACTATTACTCCAGTTTACAAGGTCATCCAATTCTCCCTGCAGGATATCCCGATCCTTCTCCGAATTGGTTATACCTCCCAACTTTGTGTCATCCGCAAACTTTATCAGCCCACTCCTACATTTGGTTCCGAGGTCAGTAATAAATAGATTAAATAAAATCGGACCCAAAACCGAACCTTGAGGAACTCCACTGGTAACCTCCCTCCAACCTGACAGTTCACCTTTCAGTAT